GCTCGGCTCGCGAGGACGCTGCTGGCCGCCGGGGACTCCGGCTCCGGGTGACAGACCCGCTGCTGCCGCTCACACGGCGGGCGCTGCGGGCGCTGCGGCCGTGGCCGCTGCCGGGGACTCAGACCCTGCGCCTTCCATTGCCACATTGCGCGTGGGTCCCGAGGTCTCTGCGGCCGCCGCTGCCCACATCCAGCTCGCGGGAAGGCGAGAGCCGGCGCTTCCAGGGCACGCCTAGCGGTCCCCAAGTCCCCCCAGACGTCCCCGCCCCACGCCGCGACCCCTTCACGGCAGAAGGCGCGCGCAGACCCCCGCCACTCGCGCTGGCTCCTTCGGCGCCCGCTGCCGGCGACGCGACGGTGCCCGGCGGGTCTCAGCGATGCCGGGCCGGGGCAGCTGCTGCTCCCGCTGCTGCTGCTCCCGCTGCTGCTGCGGCTGGGGTTGGCGGTGGTGGCTTCTGAAACGGCTGCTCGTTCTCGGACTGCTGGGTTCGCGGTGGCTGCTTGGTCCCGGACTCTGCTTTCTTGTTCTCCTCACCGACCCGCTGGACCATTCTGCCCCCGCGCCGCGCGCCTCTCTCGCTCCCGGGACCTGGGGACTCTGCTCTGTGTGTGTGCAGCGGGCAGCGGCCGCAGCAGCTCCTTGACTCAATAGATGAGATGGAAGAAGAAAAAAAAGAACTCTCTCCATTTGGAGAAAGAGGAGGAGGAGGGGAGGGGGTGGAGGGGGAGAGAGCGAGCGAAAGAGAAAAAGGCTGGAACTCCCGCCCCCGGGGCTGTCAGATGGCTTGGGTTTCTGCGACGCGATTGGCTCGCGGAGGGCAGAAATTACTCAGCAAACATGACTATTATTAGCTGCTTAGCAACAGCTCACCAAAGTAGAGAGACCACCCAGGTAGGCAACCCCCGTGTGTGCATCCCCGGCTGGGGAGGGGGGGGGGGACCGCTCAGCGCCAACCTTCTCTCATGCAATACTTCCATTAAGGAATGCTCTCTCCTTTCTTTCCTATTTCTTTTCTTTTCAACAGTGTCTTCTTTTTGTGAGACGCCTTTTGCGAGCGCGCGCGCAAACACACACGCACACGCTCACACATACAGAAGCATTTGCCTCGAGATAGACACGGGGGATATGTAATATTTTTTAAGCGCTTAAACAATTTCTGAGGTTCCTCAAAGAAAACCCTTTTAGAGGCACTTTGGCCTCAAGCTGCAGCAAATACTGGGAGGTCCGCCTTGAATTCCCAGGCTTGCACCGATAATGACAGGGTGGTGGATAGTGCGCCAGTGTGTGCCAATTTTTTTTCTCCTCTTTTCTTTTATAACCAAAGGCAAGACTTAGACTCTCGCAGGGAACAACGCCTCGTATTAAGATAAACAAAATGGAAAGTTAAAGAGGAGAGCAAGGACGTTGGGAAAAGCCACCCTTTAAAAAAAAAAAAAACCCTGCCCCCCCCGCAAAAAAAAACATACACAATACAGTCCCATTTGAAAGAGTTTGTAAAGAGAACCCAGACACATAGTCTCTCGAAGAAGTAGAGACTTTTTTATTTGAATTTTTAATACATAAAAAGAAACAATCTTTTCAGCAGTCCGGAGAAATGGAATTGAGAAATTTCCTTATTATTTGGGTTTCATCTGGACCCTCCGCCTTTGAATTAACCACATTTTTAAAGTCAATTTTAGGCTTTTTTTTTTAAATTACAAAACTTGGTGTGTATCCTGTAATTTTTAATAGTGTGACGTAGGAGAGAATAAAGGCTTTGATGTCGGATTCATTTGAAACAAATTGTGCACAGATCTCGAGGATTTGTCCCAATATTGCGCCCAGTGTCACGAAGACATCCCGGGGATTCGCTTAACGTTGAACAAAAAACAAGCGACCTTCGCGGGGTGGGGGGTGGGGGTGGGGGTCCTGGAGCCAGTGACAAATTAAACCGTCTACACAACTACGCTCTTTAAGGGGGGGAAAACCCAACACTTAAGAAAGCACATTCCATTCTCCAATAAGTTTTCAAGTTCCTCCCTGCAGTAGACACCAGACCCACCAACACTGGATTCTGCTATATCCTATTATTTTTCTTTTCCCACTTGAACTGTAGAGGGAACCGTAGTAGTGAGAAGCCAGCTGAAGCCGTGAAATGGGGCGGTGTGGCTTTAAGATGCACACGGTGTGTGTTCATTGAAAAAAAAAATAAGAAAGAAAAGGAAAGAAAGAAACCCAGATGGAGGGAAAGGGGGAGGAGCGGGGGAGAAGGCGGAGCCTGCTCTGCCACGTGACTCAGACCAAGCGGCCTGTCCGCGCGCACGCGTTAGCGCGCACGCGCACGCGCGCTCCGGTTTGGGGCCTGCGCGGGGCGCGGGCACAGCAGGTAACCCTGTCGGCGCGCTGGGCGTGCGCGCCCCGAGCCCTCAACGCCGAACGCACCGCCTTCCTGGACTCTGAATGGTGTGCGCGCCTGGCCGGCGCGGACAGACGTGCCGGACACGCCGTAGTACATTCCTGAAAGCGGCCCGGCCCCCTCGCGCTGCCCAATGCGCGCACGGTCTCCTGCTGACGGCCAATGGCTGCACTTCGGCCCTTCCATTCAGCGGCGCAGGCTGCAGCAAGGCAGGGGCAGTGCACGCGGCTCCAGGAGGACGGGGCCTTCCCCTCCCACCGCGTTGCAATCCTTCGTCCCTGCCTAGCCTGCCCCCCACCCCCCAGCCTTATCTCCTTCCGGACTTCCCTAGGACGCTTTGCCATCCTGAATCCCAAACCCACAAAACCTGTGCGGTTCCTGAAGCGGGGTGGTAGATGCGTTTGGGGTGCTCACAGGATAAGGAAGAGGACCTGAGTGCCGGGCCAGCGCGGAAATTCAAAATTCCTAACACCAGGGAGCACGTGATTTTCCAACAACTGACTTTCGAAAGAGCAGCTGAAAAATCCTGAAGGGAAGGCATGCTGAGTGAGGGGAAGGACACTACCTTAACAGCGAGCAACGTGCTGGAAGCAGAGCTGTTAAGCCTTGGAGTAAAATCCTAATCTCTGATAGTTTGGTTATCAGCATAAAGCAGAAAAGGATGGACTACTATTTTAGCTTTCACATTTCGTACTCTTGGAAATTGGATTGTTTTCTAAACTTTAGGGTGACACCTCGAGTTCAAAGGTCAGCCTGATTTTAAATTTGAAGCTGGCTATATGTATGGCAGGCAGGTAACCACATAGCCCTATGAAAGTTGTCTTTAAAATTCCTTACAATATTTTACTCCTAAGCATTTGCTGCTCCCAACCCCACCCCCAGGTTTTTACTTCTTTGGTGGCAGTATAGCTGTTTGGATTCTGGGATTCTAGAATGAAACTATAGTCTAGCTATGCAAAGCCTCTTCCACTCGGACGCTTTTCCCTCGGTTTGACTTAATTCTTAAACGTTTTGAACATGGAACCCTGAGGTTTGCAATGCTCTACAACCCCTCGCCCGCTGTTTGATAGGTTAACTTTTCAGCATCGCAGACAATGGTCCTGACCTGTAAACTCTGCCCGTAGGTTTCAGGACACAGTCCCCAGGCTCTCTCTAACAAGCGCTACCTTAATCTCCCCACCCCCACCGCCGCTTCCCCTGTGGTCCGCTTTTTTCCGTAGAGATGAATTACTTTGAGGATCTAATTGGCCTTGTTTCTGTAACGTTTTAAGAAAGGGAAGAGGAGCCAGTCTAAAAAGACTGCTCGACTTGGGTGGTCAGGGCCAAGGCTGCCCCCAATTTGCCTCATTGCTGATGCATGTGAGTGACATTCCCAGCTATAATGTTGTTCCTAATCAATCTACCCTTATTTACATTTGTAAGCATTGTCGGCTTTAATATGCATGCCCTGTGCAGGGGACCGCTGAGCCACACCGGGTTTGTTAACTTCCAGCTAACCGCAAGGATTCCACAGACCTGAGAGAGGCAGAGTGGACGAGCCAGGCCTGCTAAGGTGTCTGCCCGCAGTACAGCCCCTTTAAGGGTCTTTTGCCTGGTGTTCCCCCAAATAACTGAGAGCTTAGGGCCTTGACCAGCAGGAGTTGCCAGCCTCTGTGAGGCCAGACTTGAGTGATCATCCCCTCTACAAACTCAAGTTCAACTGAAAACATAAATTGTCATTCTTTTCTCCCCATCACAGTCCAGGACTGTTGGTTCCATAACAGATTCCTTCAAAGCTCTGGATCCCCTCACTGTCTCCTCCCCTGTCTGTTCCAGTGCTTCAGATGTCCATAGTCATGCCGCACACATCTCAAAAATGACATCAGATTGTCCAAGTGCTAAGATGACACTTGAGATAAAACATCTGCCCTTTGTGTTGGAATGTTCCAATGGTGCAAAGTTATGGGTGCCAGACTTGTTGAGGTTTAACTTTTCACTGGCTTCTCAGATGAAACTAAGTGAATCTTTAAGATCCATATAAGCGAATAAAGGGGCAAAGATGTTCCAGCCATTTGACCCTAGGCTTAGTCATCATTTTCCCCATCAAGTTTAACAGTCTTCCAGAAATTCAAAGAATTGAAAATATGATACTAAAATCCTACAGTATTCTTGTTGCAAGGACGGGATGCATGAGGAAGCGGGTGTGAGGGTCTACATATGGATGCTACAAGGGTAGGGTAGGGGGAGGCCGTGGTGTTCTATGGGTGGGTGGGTGGTACAGGACACAGGACATGGGTGTTAGGCCAGGGCCTGGGTAGTGCAAAGGCAGTTTGAATAAGAAGGAGTCCTGAGCCAGTCTGCCACCATCCCACCCCATTTTCTTGGCTCTCCACTAATGTCCAACTGCACAGGGAGACGGCAGAAAATGACCCCAAACGGCTTCAGGGAGGTGAAAAGGAAGGCACAGAAGTGTAAAACCATTGGGCTTGACTCCCTCACTTCTTTCTACCTCCAGCTTCCTGCCCTTACCAACTACCCCTCCCAACCCCCCAGGCTGGAGGAAGGGGAACTGCTGTAGCCAGCTTGTCAAAATAATGCTGCTAATTACCTCTGATCTCCTTTAATGGGAAGCTGCTCCCAACTCCACAAAAGAGTAAATAAAAGGTCCACAGCACAGACCCAGGAGCTTACAGTGAGCTGGGGGTGGGGAGGGTAACCAAGAGGAGATATCCTTAGAAGGTCCCAGAAATGTCAGTGTCATCAACTGCAGAGCCTTCAGTGAACCTGACAGGAAACTCATCATGGACCCCTATATTGATTCCTCCCCTTCTTTAAATCTCTTCTGCTGCATTTTTCCACTCTAATGGATAGAGATGTGTTCTTGAAATACTCAAGCCCCAAGCATTTTTCCCCGTCCATCACTCTCCCATCACCTTTCTACCTCCCTGTCTAATATATCTGTACCCTGCTCTGACTCTGGCAGAAAGCACACTGCATTTCAATGCTCCCTGCCTTTGGGTCCTGCGTGGAAAAGAAGCTGAGCAACATGATCCCTTTGACCCACTGCTGGAGCAAATTTATTAGAGATATAGGCATGAGAAATGAAAGGGAAGTAAAACAATTCCAGCTTATTGTGTGTCTTTCTTTCATACTCCTAATCCGGTTTACACATCACGCCTACATGTCTCAATGGGGCATTATACACTGTGGCAGAGGCTGCAGAAAATAAAAGGTGTGTGTGTGGGGGGAGACAGAACAGGGGGAAGGTGGGCATTTTAATCCATATTTATCTTACAAATTTCTTATCTGTAGACAATTGAAAGCAATCTGTTAAAAGCCTCTTTCCACAAAACAGTTCCAAAATGGTGCTAACTCCTGTTCAAACGGCTTGTCAGATTATGACAAAAATACATAACCAGAAATTAGATA